CAAACACTAGTGCAGGGATTAGATGGATGGAAACTGAGGAAGTAACCACTTGAGCTAATTCTTACTCTCTGTTGTCATAAATCAGACTTCTGTGCACCACAACTAGAGCTTTTCCACTTATACACATCAAGGCTGCCTATCCATTTCTGTTCTAGGAACACTATGATCCATTAGCCAGTGCCAAAGCTCTGTAGGCCAAACCACTCTGATGCCTGCTTTGGCTTTGCTGCCCATTACAGTAACTACACCAACTTTGTCCTGGTTACTATGTGCCCCCACTTGGCTCCTGACACCCTGATAGCCCATCCTTCTCATTGCATTAATTCAAGGGGCCCGTTCTGATGACTGCATTTCCCATTCTCATGCCTGCCTCCAAAGAGTAGCCACCACAGAGCTCTTCAAGAATGCTGGTGTTCTCATCAATGCATTTCTCAAAACCTTGGTGAAGGGAGTGTCCTCCAGACCCTACCAAGGAATATAGTTAGCTGGTTTTATATTATAAATCCACTCTAGCATTCTGGACACCTTCTTCTTAAGTATTGGGAGTGCTGACATTTTACTTTCATTTGTGCAAGCCATCTTTGGGTCTAGTAGCAAAATTCTAGAGCCATCCCAAGCAACTTGGGCAAATACATCAAATTCAGAATCTCTGCTTAGTGAACCTGTTTTGCATTGTTTTATGATACGGTCAGTTAAGTGTGGCCACAAGAGGAGACAAAGGAGAGGTTCAGGAAAGTAAAGTTTATCATACTCACAGGCCCTGGAGACGGGAGGCAGGCATGCCATGCAGGGCCACGTAGGAAAGACACTAGGGTGGTCAGGTGTCAGAAGACAAGAGTAAGGGGAAGGTTTAGGTCACTGCCCTTATCTGGTTTCTGTGGGAAAGGCAAGGCAGGGCAGGGTGGATAGTTTAGGATTGGCGGGTTTGAATAATTTCAGTGGCTTTGGGCTATAGAGGTGGTCCCTAGTTGGCTGGCACCTAGGATGATTAAGGCAGAAGAATTTTGCCTCCTGGGGAGTATGGGACAGACAGAGGAGGTACAGCTCTGAGATTGGTTCGTTTGCATATCAAAGACATGCTGGGGGCTGGGCCCTTTGCCATCTCTGATGGGCTAGCCCAGGGAGAGGCAGTCTCTCCCCAGCCAGAAAGGTTTTGTAAGATGTGCATTCATATTAATAAATTCAGCCAAATCTAAAATTATATTCTTTTGATCCTGATCCAACACCTTTAAGTTCCATTCCCACACATATTCCCTGACTTTCTGTCAATATAAATTGGCATTTGAGAGATCTTGATGAAAGGTAAAGAGAATTGTTTGTCCTAGTCTTATAACTTTTCAGTAAGTATGAAATTATGTCAAAACAAAAAGTGAAACAATGTATGAATTGACAAACTCTCAATATTCTTTTGGTGTGTGTAGTATTTTCTCGTGGGTCACCTTGAGGTCTGCTGTGGCTTGAATCTATCTGGTTATAGATCTAAAAGAGGTGGCAGGTTAAGGTTTCTAGAAGGATCAGCAGTGCCCTGCAAGGCCACTACCTCTGAGGAGGTCCTTACA